TCAATAATTATATATTCCTTCAAGATTTTGTACTTCCTCTGCTAATCAGCCTGTTTTAGCAGAAAGGTTAGTCTCTTTGAATTGAAAATTTGACCATTGCACACACATTTGTTACACTAGCTACCCAAGTTTCTGCATAACCTACTCCATACCCATTGCTTTATCAGGCACATCTACTAAAATCAAGAGGGAAGATTTGGATTTTGATACTTGTACACCGAGTTGAACGATCCCTCACAACAAAGGGGGGCCAAGATGAATAAAAAAAATCGTAGAACCCCCTATTGTGAGGGGGTTGGTACACCCGGGTGTCAGTGTACGAGTAGCATGGTTCTTCTTGTTTGTATAAAAAAGAACGATGCTTTGCACGTAGCACGGTGCATAACATCGTTCACAGCCCCCTCACATGAGGCAGTCCAGCCTTACCGTGAGGCCCCTCACATAGGGGGCTGTACCTACTGTACAAGGAGAAAAATCCTAAAAAAATTAGATCTTTTAGTATCTCGTCCAAATTAAAAATAATAGCCTGTTTGAGAGTGGTTTTTTTATCCAAAAAATTGATTTTTTGACCTTTATTTCACTATTTCAACCGTACTTTTTGATTTTTTTACTTATAGATGGCCCCCACTTTTCTCCTAGCAGTCAAAAAATCAATTCTCAAAATTAATACCGAATAGGCCCTAAATAGTCAAGAGAGAGAGGGATAAAAACACATCCGTCTATGTCAAGAGGTAGTCCAAATAGGATTCCATTAGTCATTTTTTTTTTACAAATGACTCTATTAATCTAAGCTTATGTTTATAAACTTTAAACACGTAATTTACTTCAAATTCAGAAATTTCGAGTGATCAAAAGTACTATATACTTATTTACAGCTCATTTATATTAATTATTTGAACCGTTTATAACATTTCACAATTATGCTCTAAAATGCGAGCCGTTTAGTTCTGTCACAGGTTACATACAAATAATGACTTGAACATCAGAAATATAATGGAGGACTTCAACGTCTTGTTCTTTGTCAAACACATTTCGACATTCTTGAATTTGCTTTTCAAGACAGTTATTCATTGTTGAAAACATAGAAACAAATGGCTAGCTAAAAAGGTCATCCTTTTATCATCAATGGTCTCGATTTTTATTGTTTTTCGACGAGCCTTTCAAAATTTGTAGTCTAAGATGTATCAAGATTGCAGGATGAGTGTATATGTGCTAGGATGTTGACAAGGTTAGTGAGATGCTAGTATATGTCTCTATATCTCAGTGGCTGTCACAAATTTTGTCTACGTGCTCTCAAATTTCAACCCGTCTCTCACCTGTAAACTGGATTAATTTTTCATCAAAACCTGAAATGCATAAACTTTTCATAATAGGTGACAGACAAAACCAGAACAAAAGATCCTCATCTTCTTTCTTTTCAATGGAATATTAATCACAGATTGGATGCAGAAATAGCTGAAAATAAGTGGGAGACCAAGAGAAACACATATAGAGATGGACAATGAAAGGAAATGCGGGAGTTATGATAGTTTTTTCTTCTTTTTGCAGGGAAGGGTGGTCTGAGTAGACAATTGCATGTATTGGAATCAGATTTGGCTGGATTTTGGAGGGCAGAGGCTTATCATTTTATTTTCTTTCATTTTCTTCCATTGACATTTTTGACATGGATGGAAACCTCGATAGACCCCACTAATAATTTCTTACAAGAATATTTATGTACTACATTGATATTTTCTTCGACACATTCAATAATATGTGTATTTTCCCTTTTTTTTTTTTTTTAAAATTATGACGGGCGAATCTAGGTGCGCACTGGATAAACTCTCGGACTAACGTAATAGCCTGCAAACTATGCCAGCCAGGTAAATCGCACTAGGCAAGTCCTATGTGACAGGCTCAATCGAAAAAGTGTTGACAAGAAGAATCGAACTCGTGACCAAAAATATACGCGCTCACTTACTCTACCAACTCGATCACCCCATAAGGGGCATATGTGTATTTTCCTTAATCATATTGTAGAAGGAAAGTGCTCAAATAATTAAAAACTAGCAAGCCATGTCTTAAAAATCAATTCGTAATTAAGGGTATTTACTCGGATACCATTTACTACAACTACATTGAGTCGAACATACTCTTAAAACAGACTTACAAGGAAATACAATGATTGTAAACTTAAAAATCAATTCGTAATTAAGCGATGTGAATTTAAATTTCAATAGTTAAGGTTTTTTTTTTTTTAAAATAATAAATAAATTATTGCAATATCAATGAATACCGTAATTGGATGTGTTAATACTTTTTTATGTATACTTCAAGGTTCTACCATGCTTTTAAGAGAAAAAAAACTATCAAATTAGTTCGGATTATTTAACAAAAATAATCCAATAAGTGCATAGTCCAAAAGGCAATTAGCTTTTCAATCTAACCCACCGAAAGGCCGATATATATTCTACTTCCTTAGCAATTATTGAGATTTGATTTGTTGGCTATCCCCTCATCGCCTTAATCTTTTTACCATCTAAGAAAAAAAATTAAAGTTGGGTGACATTGCTCAATTTTAAGTTCATTTTCTATTTCCCCCCACTTAATTTTCAAATTTTCGTAATTTTTAGGAGATAAAATTCATGAATATATTATCATCATGCATGCATTGAGATTTAAAAAAAAAAAAATTTAAAAATCAAAGATTTTACAACCAAATCTGAATTCGTTCTAACCCATGTTACTCATATTTTCTTGGATTCAGTCAATAATTGTATTATATTTGCGAGTCTTGCTTGCACTCAATGGGCTGGTCTATAATTGAATTATTGGTAACAACATATGATTTTCACATTTCAATTTCTATATAAATATAAAATAGGGCGTTGCTATACGGATAGGGCAATATAGGCCCTGGACGTGCCCCCATTGATAGGGGGTCTGTGCTCAATTTTGCGTTAACATATATATAAAATAGGGCGCTGCTACACAGATAGGGCCTATGTGATTTACCCTATAAAATATACTACTTGTTTCTCATTCTCAGACAAGTAAAAGTAATTTTGTAAATCTTATCTTCAACATGTTCATCGATTTACTAAATTCTTTTTTCGATCAAAATTTGCACATTTTTTATTAAATGAATGTAGGAGGGAGATTATTTCTTCCAAAAAAACCGAAAACTGCAGATGATACACAATAGGCCCCTATTTGGTATTGTTGGGAATTGATTTAAACATGCACAGCGGAATTTAACAGATTTCAATTCCCATTCAGGATTCAGCTTTGTATTTAGATAAAAACTGTGATGAGAAATATACCTTTTGTGTGATTTGCAAACTCTTTCGCGTTATTCCTTTCCAGCAGCTTGAATCTGCCTCCCACAGCTGTCCAATTGTGCAGCCTCCAATGAAATCCACACAGAGAGAAAACAGCAACTGCTAGGGTTTCTTTCTTGTGCTAGCAAGAATAATGAATGACTTAATGGACCTCAAACCCTAGCTGCATATATATATAAACCCAAACGGACCCGGCCCGGTCCGGTCCAATATTTAATTAATCCAATTAATCAAACCCGGTCCGTGAATTAATTAATCCAATTAATTAATTCGGGATTATAAATAAGAAATTCAATTAATTGATTTATCCAACGATTGTTAAATTAATCAATTAACCGCCGTCCCTGATTGACATCTAGCAATGTGTCGGGGCAATACATGTGACGGGAAATGTCACGTGGTATGACAAAACCAAAATCGTTCGTTTATCATGGAATTATTATCCCTTCGTCAATACGATCCGATCAATTACGAGATATGGAATTGTGTCAATCTCGATCATCGATCATATCTTTCATTCCACTATTAAGTCAATATAAATCGAAAACTCCTTTTCGACTTATGAGTACACCTTGGCCAAGGATTTCATCATCGACTTAATTGAATGAAACGCAGATCATCTCCTACTATCTAAGAGTGACGAATCCTTTATTGATCAATCACAACCTTCACACGATTCTTGACGTACCCGAACGATGTCGTATTAGCGGCCCTTTTCAGAGCAACATCCAACACCGCCAAAGTATGACTGTCCTCATATAGGGTACTATGACGACCTCAAGTCAAATGATTAATCCCACTACCGAACGTTAGAGATTAGCCACTGACACTCAGATAGTTATCCATGTGGAATCTCTTAGCGGGTCTCCAATGTTTTGTTCTACAACAAAACATCCACATGTTCATTTAAGTGTCACCACACTTTAGCTCGTGAGATCAGCTACTTACTTCACAAGTAAGAAATGCCACACGTGATGGTCTAACTGTATTAACGATATCCGTATCTCGTTATTACTTACGACCATGGTTTATTCAAGATCCAATTATATGTAATTTGTATCTCACAATCACAACTCCTTGTGATTAACAGATTACCTAAAAATTGGGTCTTCGGATTCTATTATTTAATATTATTTATCACAAAATCAATTTAAATAAATAATAGATCTCGCCAAAATCAAATGCATTAAATATATTAAAAGCGTTTACAACCTAAATCGATTGGATCTAGGGCATAACACTTACAGGTATAATTAATTTTAATCTAAATTAAAATCAACAATTACTTTTAACTACATATTTTATGAAATCCATAGCTTTTCATTTACACATTTCAAAATCTTTTATGAAAACCTACTAAAAGTTTAATTTTAATAACCATCGAACAAAAGCTAGAATTATAATTTGATTATCATTCTTTTCAAAATACATTTTTCTCTCTTTTCTTTTTAAACACACATTATTTATTAAAATAATATTACATACAAATCAAAAAATTATCTTTATTTTTCAATCATACATTTTCTATCAATGTACTATTCCTCGTGAAAAAATATTCTAAGAATTTACTTGTTGACTGAAAGTACATTGCAGTGAAGAGAGTCATGAATACTGTTCCTGAAACGAGGTCCCACATTGTGTACTCAGAGCATGCAATAAATTCACCCGTTATAAAGAAGAAGGAAAAAGTCCATGATTATTCTTCAATCCATCATCAATAACTCTTCGAAAATTAAATCAGGAATGGAAGGAGAAATAGGTTTACCACCCAATTATGATCATCTTCAGCAGGAGCTCTCTTTTTCTGCTCCTCATGAAATGGGGTATTTACAGTTTGAGGATCATAATCAAGCCATCAGCTTTTTGGAGGCACCCTCACAAACTTCTCCGGTGCCACGGCGTCTTCACTGCGGTGGTGGAGGCAGCATTATTAAGCCAACCAACGCCAGCAGTGGTGGCTCCCTAGGGTTCAGCCATAGTGAACTTCTGAATCGACCTTCATGTGCTAACGTCGACCAGGTATTTGAATGTTTATACAGTCTGAATTCTTCTTCATACTGTGTGCAACTGTGCAATAAACTTATTGCATCCTTCTTATTTGCTTCATATTTTTTATTTTGTTTGACTAATTAATATTTTCGATTTTTGGGATCAACGATCAATGGTGAAAAATACTAATAGGTAGGAACAGCTGATCCCAAGGCTGTTAATGATGAAAACTGCAGTGGTAATGCCAACGAGGATGGGAATTCATGGTATGCATCTTAGCGCTCTTAAATCCCTAGCCCTAGAAACCCTAGCCCTTGAAACTGATGGGAAGCGTAGGAAACAAAGATTAACACACGACAAATGAATCATTGATTCTTATACATACCGATTTGGATCAAAAGAATTTCGTTTTTCTTTTTTATTGTTCTGTGCATCAGAGATCCTTTTATGGATCACTGAATCAGTCAATCAGAAACATCTCACACACTTTCTCTTTCCCATTAGTACTTCTCATTCACTACTTTTTTTTATTGCTTTTATTACATTTGGTGTTTTGTTGCTTTTTTGGGGATTAGGTTTATGTCCCCTCTTTTTCTGCATTCCCATCTTTTTGATGATATACATATGGTTGGGAAATCCTAACCCATCGACCTTCTTTGGTTGAGCCTAAAAACTCACAAAGGATGTGGATGCCTGTTCCCAAAAAAAAAAAAAAAAAAAAAGAAGGAAAGAAGAGAGAAAAGCACTTTCTTTCCCCGCCGTTGCAGAGCTCACTGGCAAATCTTAGGTTCCAGGGGCTCAAAGGTGACCGGATCCTATCCTTTCTCACAGCTGGTGCACACCCATTTGCATGTTCTTCGAGGACAAGTGCTAGAGCCACTATAATACTGTGTCTGGTCCATGATACAAAGACTCATTCTTAGGAAAAACTTTACTCGGAAGGCTTATCATTTTTGGGAGACCGCCCCCCATGGAAACCAACCCTAGATGATCTCATTCAATAATCAAATCCATACACTAGCGATCACACTGCCTACGACCATCTGTTTTAATGCTAATGAAAGAAAGTTGTATGGAATGAATATACAAATTCGAATACACAGGTGGAGGAGTTCATCCTTAGAGAGGAGAAAGGGCAAGTTGAGGAGAAAGCTAAGAGAGCCAAGGTTCTGTTTCCAGACAAGGAGTGATATAGATGTGCTTGATGATGGTTACAAATGGAGAAAATATGGACAGAAGATTGTCAAGAACAGCCTTCATCCCAGGTTCAGATTTTTTTTATTTTTTTATTTTATTTTTATTTTTATAGGTGTATATCCTAATTACTATAAAATTCACTACATATATAGACTTTTAAATTTAAATATATTATTTTGCATCTCTATGGTTTATTAATATTCTGCAGTTTATCCAATAATTTATATCCTAAAATTTTGCATAATTTTGTTATCTGTACATACCAGGATATGGGATGTGCTAACGTTCAGTTAACTGTTGACCCTAGCAAGTTTTGATGTTGTGAGTCTTGTGATTGGGTAACATTTTTTTTATTTTTGAAGTGCGACAAGGTTTTCTGTTACGGGGTCTCAATTTTTGTTAAAATATTGGAAATAAATAAGACTCGTAGTTATGGTGTTCTAATGTTTCTTGCAATGTCATTTCTATCGAAACAACACTTCATTTACAAGCAAACAACAAACAAAAATTTGTCTTGATTACCAAACTTTGGAAGTTTGCATTATTGAATTTCCTCACAAACCAACTTGGATTTCATATTCCTTATTCATTTCCACCAACAATAAAAGAAGAATGAAGACAATTTCTTTCTTGAAACTATTCCTTTTTCCAGCATTAATTTCTTGATAGTGATGATGAAATGAATCTTTTTCCAGCATCAGTTTCTTGATATTAATGATGATATGAACTGTCAAGTACAGAGAACATGATTTATAGTAACTAGTCTTATGTGATACCCACCAGTTATATATTTTCTTTGGTAACACATAATTACTAAGAATCTCATGAGTTTTCGTGCTTTTCTATGTAACTCTGCTGATTATTAACAGGTTTATTTATTTCTTTACATTTGAACCTCTCCTCTTTTTATTTTTTATTTTTTTTTCTTTTATTTGCAGAAGTTATTACCGATGCACATATAGTAATTGTCGAGTCAAGAAAAGGGTTGAAAGGCTATCAGAGGATTGTCGAATGGTAATAACAACGTATGAAGGTAGACACAACCATTCTCCTTGCGATGACTCAAACTCATCTGAAAATGAGTGTTTCACCTCATTCTAATTATTCGTCTAAAGATGCAAACAGTGTTGCTTAAAGTTTTATATGGTGAGCTTGCATGAAAGCTTGGATGGCTTTAGTTACCTTTACTGGCTATGCTTGATTTGTTGAAATCACTCAACATATATACGAGTAAATATTGAAGTTTTGGCATGTAAAATTGATTGCTTGAAGCATCAGTTTTCACCAAAGTGAAAATCAAATCAGAAAGATTTCCTCTTAATTATTTAGGATGTGATTACAAAAGGCATCAAGTTCAATCCATTCCTTTAATAGTGGTTAATATACTTTCGTGGTAATTATCAAGTATGGTTGTTTCTTGAAGCTCTCTAAAAAAGAACACAAGTCTTCTTGTCGTCCTTTTTCTATAGAAAGAGGATCGTGGATGCGAATCTCAGTAACCCAGAAATCCATCGTGGAGTATCAACTGATTCTCTTGGCTAGGAAATCTTGATGCACGAAACATACCTACTTTCTAGCTTTGATACCATGAAGTGAAAGTTTCACTTGCCAAAGTTCAACAAGAAGAATCAAAGAAAACCTAGCTAATTGAAATAGGCTTGTAGTATAAAATTATTCTGGGTTTCTAACGTCACAATAATTGTGACCCACTTTGAGACGAGAAATGAGGGTCTGATCTATTTGCGTACTTAATAGCTTGTTTAATTGTGTGTTCGTTTGTATATGAGAGTAAAAAGAGTATTAAGATTTGAGGTTCTATCTTAAAATGTTAATCTTATTAAGAAAAATAGTTCAAATATTTATAAATTGGTCTATACTTTCATTTTTATTCGATGTAAAATTTTCTCTTAATATATCCCTGCAAGATAATGTCTCGTTTGAGCAAATCAATCTTAAAATCCATTTGCTCATTTTTTTGGTCTTAATTAGATAAAATTGTTCGTTGAATATAAGAATTGAGGTTCCATTTTAAAAGATAAATCTTATTAAGAGAAGTAATTCAAACCCTTATAAAGTAGTCTAAGTTTTCATCTTTAATCGATGTGAAATTTTATTAGTCACAAATGTTACTTCAATCTTACGTTGGTTTATGCAATCCTAGTCGGATTACTTGCATAATGAATGATTTATGAAATCCTAGTCACATTACTTCTATAATCAATGATTTATGCCGTAAATACAAGATTCAAACAATCTCTAAATTTCTATATATATAAATATCAATTAAATACATTTAATTGACAATTCACAATAAAACATGTTCTAGTCAATTTAATTTCCTGAAATTTGTTTTTTTTCCACCCAAATTTTATCATTGCAATCAAACGGACCTGAGTACTATGGCTCTACAAGCAAGGAAAAATAAATAAATAAAATTTGAATTAAAAAATAAAAACAATAATATATGAGATCCATGGGTCCGGCTGGACCAACTTGGTACAGGCTTACTGGATAATATAGTCAATGAATAAATGTGAACCTGCCCGTCACAAAACGCTGGTCGGTTTAAGTGATGTTCTTGGCCGCTTGGCAATTGGTTAGATCTAATATGATCATGATCAATTAACACTGCGACGTGTCAAGCATCAGGATTTGGAAAAAAAATCTCCTTTTCATTATATGTTATTCGGTTAAATTTCGTAAGTACATGTAATCATTGACAAGTAATAAATTTGACATGGCACAATATATTTGTATTTAGCACTTGCGATTGCAAAGCCCAACGATTCGTCTTTTTCATCTTGGTCACATTTTAGATCTTCCAGGTAGTTCCAATCCTTCCAAATTGCAATTAGAGTCCTTTATTTTCCAAATCATGTTACCTTAGTCCCTACTTTCCAAGTTGTGCACAAATCATGTCATTTTCACCCTTTTTATTCTTGTTCTACAAAAATTGTTAAACATCAATTTTTTCCTAAATAAATGATATTTACACAGTATTAAACAACATGCTCCAGGTCGATCAGAAAGACCAAAAGGTGGAGTGGATTGGAAGGAATGGCTTCGCTTTTTGAGTCTGTTTTGGTTTTGATTTAGCTGATGTGAGGGTTGTGGCTCAAGCATCTATTTTTTTTGTACCTTTATTCAATTCATAGATAGTGATCGCGCCAATTCATTCATTAAATAAAGATTTTCGCTTCCCAATTTTAAGAATGTCATACTTAAATATCCAGTACTTTTGACGATCTAAATGATCACGTAAATTATACTTATCAAATATATCCTCAAATTTGAACATTTGTTGTTCTCGAATAAAATCATATACTTGATCAAATAATCAAACACTATGTAAACAAAATAGTTAGATAGCTTGCCGTTTCGTGTTAAGTTTTTTAATGCAGAACTTATGAAAAGCTTCTCATGATACCAAGACTAATATCGACTTATCTAATGTTAAATCTAAGTGTGTGTGGTAAATCACTATAAACATATAAGTTGATTACATTCTCAATCCGTAATGTTCAAGTATCTCATTTCTCACTCGTAAGATGAGCACTTGAAATTGTTCTTCAAACTCTCATAGAAGTTTATTTTTAAGTTTGAAATCACAATACTAACTCATTTTCCCCTCTAATTTGATTGGATCTTACCAATGTAAGTCACTTCAACTTGAAATGATTCTCCAAAATTTTGATTGCCTCTGCCTCAAGTTTCAACAAGGCTAATAATCACCAATAGAATCCAACTCCTTGAGTTTCCAAGACTTAGTCATGCATATAATGCGTCTTTTATTTTATTCACTTGATTTTTTTCAAAATTTCTGTGTATTCTATGTCATGTTCTATCCTTTATCTTTTTTGAGTTTTATATTGAGATCTTTTATGGGATAAACTTCGCTCATGCAACATGACGATTTTTTCCATAGTGCAATGCCTTTTATTAGAACACTTATTTGGGTTCAAACTTCTAATGAAAGATTTCTAACTAATTTCATCCTATAAATCAAAAACAGTCCACACAAGTAATAAGCATGCATGGATTCAATACTCAAGTGGTCATGGGTTTGTGTTATATAATAAAGTCTTGGTTTCATCATTCTAAGTTCAAACTGAACCAACTAAGCCAATCAACGATTCAACTCATAATTTCACATTGATAACTTGACTATGGCGCTCAAAATGTGTCATGTTTCACGTAAATAAGTATAAAATTAATCAAAATACATAACTTATTCACGTTTCATAAATTAAAATATAATTTCAATAACACTATCATAAGCCAGCAATGCTATTCAATTCAAACAAACCCACAAACAAACATATATATATATATACTGCTGGAATGGAACAATAGGACCTTTTCCAGATGGGCCTGATCGAGAAACAAATTGCGTCAGCTGCTCTTTTCTCAAAAAAAAAAAAAAAGGTTGAACCCCACCGTCCCGTCTCTAGAGTTTTGTGAGAGAGGTAAATCGCGAGATGTGTCCCAACAGGCTAGGGAACAAGAGTTGCCTGTACACTGCGCCTACAAGGAGTTAAATTTCATGTTTCAGGAATCGAACCCCCACACTGCGACTATCATTAAGGCGTGAGATAACCTTACTCCTGTCCTTTGCACCACTAAGCTATGCCCGGGGGCTAAGCACTTGACTATATTCATTTGAAAGTCAGGTAAGCACAGTAAGAATACCTACATTTGACCAAATACCAGATGGGCCTGATCGAGGGACAAATCGCGTCAGCTGCACTTTACTATACTCATTTGAAAGTCAGGTAAGCACAGTAAGAATACCTACATTTGACCCAGTTCGGTGTCTACATTTGATTCGATGATTCCATTGTGTAACACAGAGATTATAAGAAGAGATAAATACGCAATGAAACAAAACCAAAAACAAAACCAATATTATAACTTTACCTTGTAAAAAATAATTGCTTATTAGTTAGTGTATTATGATATCTGTGGTCCAAAGTTATCAGACATAAGTAAATTCACGGACAACTAATTTAACTCATCAGTAGTTATTATTATTATTATTATTATTTTGAAGTAAATCTCATTAGTTCTGAATAGGCCTGAGGTAATATGAAACCAAGCTTTTGTGCGTGCGTGTGTGTGTTTTTTTTTCACCATATTAGTTTAATTATTGTTGAAAATAATAGAAGATAAATAAAGATTTCTCCACATTTTTGTGAGAGTTATAAATAAATTAATGAAAATATATAAATTAAAATATTACTCGTTATATTGTTATATTACTGACGTCTCAAAGATGATGTAATCACTAAAGAACAATACAGACTAAACTATTACCTTAAGTCATCCATAATGGACGGTGCATTAATGAGCACATATGAAGTCGTTTTCATTAAAAATATTCCACCACTTACTATATTATAATTTATCTGTGACATGTAAAGGAATAAAATGACAAATTCTTTCAATAAAAGATAATTAAAAGATAGTTTCAATCAGAATCCTGGCTTGACTAGTTGAATATAAATGATTTATTTAATACATAAACAAGATAACAACAATCTTTACATTCTTATATAAGTAATACAGAACTCTCAAGACAAACTTAATTGGAGTACGTGATGACTCGAGGACAAATGGCCTCTAGCACAATCAACAATTCTTGTATTCTTACCTCGTTTCTCATTCTCGTGCTGATAACAGAATTGTCGACAACAACTGTCGGAAAAGTAACGACCATGCATTCTAATATTGTTTTTCCAAATGCATGCTTTAATAGGTGCAACTTTCAGGAATACTGTACTTGCAGAGTTCGAGAAGATGAGCGTTACTTATGTTGCAAGTATTGCAGAAAAAATTGTGGCCAGAACTTTGATGGATGCCATGATCTACCAAATGGACCTCCTTGTCCTAAAGATTAGTACTACAGTTCTATGTTTTTCAATGTTATGCACTTTGTACATATTTTCTTGCAATGCATATGATGTCTGCATGTACATATTTCTATTTTGTAATGAATGTAAATTAATTTTAGTCCTCGCATGCATCCACACACGTACTCCTTGGCTTGTATAGATGTAACACCGCGTGCCTCTTTTCGTGATTGTTCGTTTGTTCTGTATAATTATATTGGTTACCCTAATGTTATATTTACTGTTTAATTAATAAATTTATTGCTCTCGTGACTAATTATGTTTTGCAGTGGAATGTACATTTAACGTCCTAAACGATCGACGTGCTTTGCAAAGTTAATTATGATGTATATATGACTCAATTAAGATGAAAATAAATTATATGATATATTCTTTTAATTGTATTCTTATAGTTTTATGACTCGCTATTTTTAAGTAAATCAAGCCTAGGCTCCTCCTTGTCTAATTTTTTACATATTAAGTAAATTTTAATTA